GTAGATCACAGAATCAGAGAGACAGGATCAGAGAGAGGAAGTCCAGGCTTGGTACTGAGACAGACATGTGACCTGAGACCACTCCCACTCCAGCACTCTTGCCACTTGTCACCTTGCCTCCTCGTCCCCACTCCTCACTGCAGAATATCCAGCAAAAATGTATCATCTTGCATAGGGTGTCTTCTTATTGTCCCCTGAGAGACACGTCTGTACAATTGTTATTTGTGGAAGTGAGAGTTTTCCCATAAAGAAAGCAGAAGCCACATTTCCTGTTTCTTTGGAGATAATAGCGTATTGTCAACTATCGTGCCACCAAAAGAGTGTGAGGCGAGGAATGAATATCTTCTCAGGTGGCAGCAACTGCTTGTAACAGGGAGGCTTGGCTTTCTAAGATTGTTCTCATGTCACATGTGACATCTCTTTATGCATTATTTTTAACGTGCACAATGGGATGTGCAATGGTGTTAACAGTAGCCCAAGGACCCAAAGCTTCACAGCTAGAAATCACTTTTAAACTGCCTCTCCCCGCCCCCCTCCCCCACCCCCGGGCTGCTGTATTAACACTCATAGTGAAGCAGAGCAGATGGACAAACAGACTGATTAGTTATTTATGCATATATTTTTTCTATATGGAGCTTAGATGTTGGCTCTTTCTTCAATAAATAGAGTAGTTTTGAGATGTCGCCTTATCTTGATTTCCCTTTCCCCCCCACAGTGGGTTTTTTTTTAATTTATTTTTTTCAAATACATTTGTCTCTGCCTACCCCCCACCACTTTCCCTTGCCCCCTCCCTCCTTCCCTCCCTCAGCTCTTCCCCTTTGATTTCCCTTTTTAATCAAAGGAAGAAAGGGGGTGCTTTGCTCCTGATCTATTAATAATGTGGCCATGTCTTTTTCTTAACTGCTGACTTCATAGCTCTCAGTGTGCACCTTGCGATCAGCATTTGATTTCTCTTCAATCCTCCAAGTCGCATGTGGTATATTCATATTCTTTTTGGCTAAGGATTTCTTTATGGCATTTGCCACCTTCAATTCATTTCTAGAAGTATCTTTCTTGACAAGGAAACTGTTTATAGTATTGTTGGCTCTTCCTCTCCAAAATGAAAAAGTCCATGACTAATTGGTAGAAAGAGAAATTATCCATCATATTACATAAATACAAAATATTTTCCCACGGACTTATTTTTTAAAAAGGTCAGATATCTCTTTCATTTTTCTGAAACAGATTTTCCTTATTTTTTTCTTCCCAGTTTTAGAAAAATAGGTTTTTTGATGAAACTGTGCTTCTGGTTCAAAACATTAAGGTAAAGAAAAAAAAGCCATGAGCAATTCCCCCTCTGGGTATGAATCCAAAGGTACACATAGCACTACCTGGAAGAGAGGTCTGATACTCCCAGAGTCATTGTAGGGTCCTTCCCAATAACCAAGGTGTGGAAACATCCTAAGTGTCCATCAACAGATGAATGGATCAAGAAACTGAGAGTTTATACACATCCTTAAAAAAGAAGGAAATACTACCATGTACAACAACACAGATAAAGCTTGAGGACATAATGCTAAGTAAAATAAGAAAACCAAAAAAAGACAAATACTACATGGTTGTCTGGTATCACATAAGTTAAATTCCTAGGAACAAAGAGGAGAACAGTGGTTGCCAGAGGCTGAGCGGTGGGGGAAACGGGAGAGGCTGGTAAAATGGTACAAACTTTTAGTATAAGATTAATAAGGTCTGAGGATCTAATGTATAAAAGGAATATGGTGAGTGTATGATAACACTGTATTGTGTAATTGAAATTTGCTAACAGAGTAGAACCTGGGTTCTCACTAAAAAAAAAGAAAAAAGAAAAAGGTAAATGTGTGTGAGGTGATAAATGTGTTAACACATAAAACTCAGTGATGGGAATCTTTTCACAATGAATAAAAAGAAAGGGTTAACATTGAAAAAAACTATCATAATCTTTCCTTATAAAACGTTAGATAGCTCTTGTGTATATAATATGTATTCATAGAAAAGTAACAGACTTATTTGTGCACAGAAAAGAACTTTCTCATCCTGTAATGCTACCTAAAATATTAGCTAAAGAGGCTTGAGACATAGTGTAAGGACAGGAAAGATAAACATGCATGGTTACACAGTTTTAATCCTTTTTAAAATTTTTGAATTGGATTTACAAATTTGCTAATGTATTTTATCAAAAGTAGGAAAAATAGCCTATAAAGATGGTGCTAAATTAAATTAGCTTATAGCACTGTGGCTAGGGATTCCAACTTATTCTATGGAACAGGTGATGTAGCTCTATTACCGTTTGGGGAGAGTTTTACACAAAGTCATAGGCAATTACTTATTTTTATTATTTTTAATAGTTTATTTTTGTTATATTTTTCCATTACTATCTATCCCCCTTATACCCTTTTGTACCTCTACCCACCCCTGTTCTCGTCGAAATCACCGTACTGTTGTCCACGGGCAGTTATTGAGGCCCCGTGGATCTAGAAGGGCTGACAATCCTGTCATACAGATTATTTCATTTTTTAAGAAATTATCCTCCGTGGGGCTTGTCATCAGTTAGAAGCTTCCATCAAACATCAAAGAGATGTTTCAGTCTAATTCTCATGCTGTGATCTGTACCTTCAGAAATAGCATATTGTTAATAACAATATGTGAAAACGAGACTCTCAGATCTGTTCGGTGTTGTGCTATCCGCATGCTGGTTTGCGCCCTCAGACTTACCCCCCCCCCAGTGGTGTGGTTTCAAGAAGGTAAATGCATTGAACGTGTGGGGGTTGGGAGGGAAAGGCTGAGCAACGCTGAGGGGAAAATGGAAGCTGAAAGTCATGGTAGGATTTTGGCGAAGGCTAGGACAAGCCAGGAGAAATGTTTTTGCATAGATTCCTGTAGCAGCCATTAGGGGTACATTTCTGAAGATCTGTTCAGTTTGAGGTCTGGGTTGGATTCAGGTCAAGTAAGAGAATTTTCAGTAGAAATGAAAGCTTGACATTCACCAGGCATAAAATATGCCATTTAGGGGTGTTTTAGTGATTTTTTTTTTTTAAGCTGTGGTCAGGTCTCGAACCTGACCTCCTTTACATTCCTTCTCACAAGGCTGAATCGGGTGCCGTGGGGTGAACTCCTGCCATCCTTTGTTTAACCTGCAATAGACGTACCACATTGCCATGCAGCTGGTCTAATGATCTCCTCTCTCTGAATGTTCACGTTCTATGGGGATGGGAAAGAAAACCCTGTCTTGTCTGGTTTACTGCTGTATACCCAGTACCTATCAAACACATGTCTTTCACTTAGTAGTTTTCAGTAAACATCTGTTGATTACTTGAATGAATGACAGGACAATTGTTTATGTGCATAATACAAATGACATACTAAACAATGTTGCTTTATGAATTGGATCCATGGTCAGCTTTATGAATTGGAGATCTTATGCCTCTCAAATGAGTTCCTATCACTTTGAAAATGGGCGAAATAGTAATATATAATTTTGATGAAGTTGTAAAATTTAAAAACATCACTCTTTACATTACCACTGTAAAATATATAGCAGTTGTGTTTCAAAAAACAAAATCCACACCTATTTATGATTTGGAGAGTACTCACATTGAGCAACAGTGTTTTGGTTTTTTTTAATGTAAGTAAATGGAAACTTCCTGCGTCATCATCACTTGAATTGAATGTAAATCATGTCTACTTTGCTGTTAACATGTCCCACACCTCCATGCCTGAATAATAGAGAAGTCCTTTAAAAATCCTTACATGTTTTATGTTTGTTAGCCTGCTGCAATGTATTTGACTTTCATGTGATTTCAAGTTTTCAAATTCAAATGAGAGTTTTTGATACAAGCACAACTTTCAAACACCACACCATGCTTTTCAGAGGTAGGTAGCCAAGGATCATTCACATCTTACATTCTTACATTTACTTCTTGGATAGCATATGAGGCTGGTACACAAAGCACGCTGACGGAGAGAAAAGAGAATTCCAGGGAAGGACGCCTGTAAATTGTCACTGGATTGCCCCCGTCCTGTGGGAATTTTGTTAGAGTTTCCCCCTCTCCTTCCTATTTTCACTTCCTTTATTCTGAAGACGGGGCCACAGTCCGGCAAGTGAGGTCTCCCCTCTCTTCTGGTTGCTCACCTTTGTGCTGTGAGGTGGTTTTCCCACTTCCCTTTTAAAAAGGAAGGAATTCGTTCTGGGAGCCCACACGTGTGGTCTTACCTGGTGGAGCTGGTGATGTGAAGAAAGGGGGACGCTGTGCTGGTAAGGGCTGGCCAGCAGCAGCAGCAGCAGCTCTCACGACCCACGGCAGCCACCTGGTTAGAGGAGTGTCCCCCTCCTGGCAAAGTGTGAGGAACTGAGATCAGGCCTGCGGGTCGGGATGGGGAACATGGAGAACTATCTGCAGCTTCCTGAGTGATGCTCATCGCATGAGCGTGCTTTCCTTCCTCTGAAGGTTTTTTTTATAAAGTATTTTTTTATTGATTGATTTGAGAAAGAGAGAGACAGACAGAGAGACATCAGTTTGTTGTTCTAGTTATTTATGCATTCATTGGTTGATTCTTGCATGTGTCCTGACCTGGGAATGAACCCGCAATCTTAGCGTATCAGGACCACACTCTAACCAACTGAGCTACCTGGCCAGGTCTGAAGGTTTTTGATATCCCAGAACATTAGCAAACATATATGCACTTTACATATATGGTGGCAAGCACTAGCGCTCTGATATTTATTGGAATAAATAAACATATATATTTTTGTATCTCAAAAAGCTCAGCCGCGTGTGCTGTAGGGGCTATGCCTTCTGATCTTGCTTGCTGGGCGCGGAGGAGGCAGGATGGCCCAAGTGGCGTTGTGTTCTGCAGGGCCCACTTGCACCGCCAGCACAGGGACGCCGTGCCGGAATTCCAGTGCATTGTGGTCACACAGCACAGCAACACACCCAGACGTGGTTTTGTGTCACGCATTCTGATCTAGCTTTCTGTTCTTTCAGGTGCGCGCATCTTGACCGACTCAGCAGGAAGGTTGATTTTCTTCGTGTTTAAAGAAGAGAAAAATGTCCCTGTGTCTGTAGAGATGATTTGCAGTTCAGCCCGGCTGAAGCTGAGCGAATGAGACTATGGGCTGTGCCTCCGCCAAGCATGTTGCCACTGTTCAAAATGAAGAGGAAGCCCAGAAGGGGAAAAACTACCAGAACGGAGATGTGTTTGGCGGTGAGTGCCCTTGAACTTCATTCTTGACCTGTGGACCCAGACTTTCACTTCCGTGGGGGCAAAGCCTTGTAGTGTCGTTGTGTTACAGCGTTTGGGGGTTGCTGGGAAAGGGCTTATGAGCTGGGCTAGAAATTGATGGAGATCTCATCCATTGGACAACTTTTGTTATAATTGATAGGGGACTTCATGGAGGATTTCGAGGAGGATCACGGAGGTTTTATGGGGAGCCAGCATTTAAATCAAGTTTTCAATGACTAGAAGGACTTAAATACGTGTGTGGGACAGCATCCAAAGGGTGTCCTGGTAGCGAATTATAGGCTTGAAAACAGAGAGGCCCAAAAATAGAGAGTGAGGATTTATAAATGAGAGTGAGGTGTTTCAGCAGCGTTAGTAGAGAGTTACTCTTTATGTGAACGATAAAATTTCAGATCCAAAAATGAAATACAGTGAACTTAATAATAATCTTTTAGCCTTTCTATGACGTTTCCAGGTGACTTTAGAATGTCTAGAGTGAAAGTTGCAAACTGCCAACCCATGGCTGCATATGGCCTGCCCTTATATTTCTTTGACTCCCAGAGAATATTAAAATGCAAAGCAAGACAGCCTTTAAGAATCAGGGTGTTTCACATAAAACCCCAGGTTCCTTCCGAAGCTCTGTCACCGCTGGGCATTCGTTCCAGAGGCAGCAGCCCGCGGGGTGGGTAGCGGCTTCCCCTTCGGCCTCCAGGTAACGGCTGAGCTCCGCCCTGATGGCACATCAAGCCCAGCTTCCTCCCTGGCTGTTGCCAGCTCCTGCCTGGCCACTTCTGGGCGTTTGAGTTCATCTCATCTTAAGTGTGTTCCTTGGAAGATTAGTTCCTGCCCTGATGAAGTGTGTCTCTGTGTTAGCACAAAAATCCAGTTAGTACAAGGCAGTTGAAGCAGTTTCCGTTGAATTACTTTAACAGTAATACCCACTACTTGACATTTACATGGCACTTGTATTCCTGAAAGCACCTCTTCATCTCTTGTTCAATGAAAAACCTTACTGAAATAATGTTTACATGTAAACAGCTTCAGTTGCTCTAGTCAGTCACTTCAGATAATTCTACTGCATTTAGAGTCTCTAGTTTTTGACCCATTGCAATGGTTGGCTCGGTCCCCTGGTGGGGGGCGGGACTTGGGAATGCTGTGGAAGGGCTAATGGTAACATGAACCAGTGTACATGAGGAGGAGAGTTGTATTTTTGCTTTAAGAAGTACTTGTCTCCTGGAACGAATTTGCTTCTGGTAGTGACTATTTGGGATTTAGAGCTACGGAGAAGAGAAACCTAGCATCTTAATAAAACTAGAATCTAGATCACCGAAGCCACAGTTTCTGGAAAAACAGCTCATTGGAACCTACACATCCATTTGCTAATTTAGTTACAACTTTTATAGCCAAGAAGACTTTCTATTGTCCTCAAGTACCATCTGTGTTTTTCAAATGTTAGCATTTAATAAAGGAGCCTTGTGTTAGGCAACTGTTGCCTCAGGATGCCAGTGGCATTCAACAGTGAGCACGTCTTTTGGTCATGAGTTGGTGGGTCAGCCGGAGTGGCTCTGCCCTAGTGTCTCTCATCTTCCTCCTGGGACCGGTGAGCCAACGGGACATGCCTTCCTTTCGCAAAAGGTAGAAGTGCAAGCAAGATACAAGATGCCGCTTAAGCTTGGGCTTAACACTGGCACGCTGTCACTGGTACCAACATTCAAGCCAAGTCACATGAACAGGTCCAAAGGTGAGAGGCAGGGAAGTACATCTAACCGTAGTACGTTCACGGCAAGGGCGTGGATGTAGAGAGCTGTCGAGAACGGGGGATGACAACTGGGCCCACCCCGAGCCTGCCCGGTCGGTGCGGCTGCATGCCGTCTGTGCCGGAGAGCGCGCCTGAGGCCTCTGCTCGCTCACTCTTCATCTCAGTACTCGTATCGAAGTTCTCGTCACTCCTGCATTTGTCACCTTGTTATTCTCTCCAATAAACATGTGCAGGAATACAAGGAGGGGAGCGCTTCATACTCTAGTCAAGGGAGATGGTTTTTCTAGGTCTATAAGGATCTGGGGGGAGAATTGTCAGAGACCCGTGTGCACGTCAGTGCCAGTATCCTAGATAGTGCTGAATGCTCGTGTTTGACTAGGACAAGAGCTGGTCCTATCTGTGTCTGTCCACTGAAATTAGTTTGCAAGCAGGAGTGCACAATCCCCAGTATGACCACAGATGGTCACAGATGAATGGAAGCTCTGGCCCACTTTTCACCATTTGATATCTTTTGTTACCCATTGTTTCAGTGGTCTATTACCGTGTATAACAAAAGACCCCCCACACTCAGTGGCTTGACGCAGCACCGATTTATTACTTCGCAGGACTCTAGGGGCAGCTGGGGTCCATCTGGGCTCAGTGCAGCTGCATTCGGCTGGGAGTTCAGCTGGACTGAATTGGGCCCAACGGGGCTCAACTGACCAACAGGGCTCAGACCCCTCTGTCTACTAGGCCTCTCTTTCCAGCTGGGGAGCCCAACTTCTCATGAGTGCAGCTTCCAATAGATAAAGTGGAAGCTGCAAGATCTCTTAATACCTGGGCTTGAAAGTCCAAGAAAGCCACGAGCCACAAGACCCACCCAGGGTCAAGGAAACACAAAGGCTCTCCATCTCCTGAGTGTGTGCCTACGGGGGGGGGGGGGCAGATTTGGGGGGCATCTTTGGAGTCTGGTCATCACAGCCATTGAGAGTGGCAACGAGAACGCCAGGACTGAATGACAGCCTAACCTGGACGGCTACAGCTGGCTTTCTAAATCGCTCATCTCTTTTTAACCGAATAAAGTGGCCACATTCACTTCAGAAGCTCCATGTTTTTCAGTGTTTGAAGATGTTATTACCACATGTTGTTGAAGCGTTGACAAAGTCTGTGAAGCGTGGCATATTTGGGGTCAGCTCTGAAGTGTGTGTACGCACACATTCGATCCTTTTTCTAAAGGTGTTAATTTCATTTTGTAGCTTCTGAGGACCTGCTGGGAGTGTGATAAGCAACGTATTCTTACACATGGTCACTTCTGATTTGATGAAGCAGTTTGGTCTGCGTGATGTTTTGGTTTATGTAGGACCTCACTCCAAATGTGTGTGACAGAGTTTATGTAGAATACGCCACCATCAAGGAATAAGTGACAAATGAGCATCTCGATGTCTAGATGTCATAGAAATCAGGAGGTCATCAATGAGGAAATTTATCACTGACGTTTACCTATGGACTTGCACTTTAAATACCGAAGCCTAAAAAGGTTCGGATCTAGAGTTGTGCCTTACATCCTGTGGCTCTTTCAAAAGTGAAACCCGGGCATGAAAACTCATCTCCAGATTGGCACTTCCTTCCCTCATTGGTCACAGCAGATGTGAAGAGAGGTCAGCAGATCTGCTGAGGTCAGTCAGAGGACAGCCGAGCAGATTGCCAAATGAGCTTGCATAAAATAAGTGACCAGCAGGTTCAAGTTATCATGACCTAGTTAAGCAAGTTCTAAGCAAAGCCAAGTGTTTATTGGATTTCTTTCAGCAGTCATTCTCTTAGTCTATGGAAGTAGGTGCATAGAACAGACTCAGGTCTTTTTAGGGAAATGGATAGTCCGCACCTGAGCTCATTATCCCTTCGGCAGCTCCTCCCCAGGAGAGGGAAAACTCTTCAGTTATGTTGCCTTTCCCATTTGCATGAAGGCCACCGCCATCTTTCCAGGAATGGAGGCTTTCGTCTTGAAAAGGCTTTAAAGCTGAGGACTTTGTCTCTCCCAGTTCCCAGATCCCGTGATTCTGAACTTTGTCCAGCGTCACTTTTCCGGCCACCCCCAGAGTTTAGGTTGGTGTAGCCCATCACCCCTAGTGGTACAGTGTTCTCTCAACGGATCTCTGTGAGCCTCCTCTGTTGTTTGTTTGCTTCTTTGCTTGTATTTGTTTGTTTTTAAATGTCCATTTCTTGCTATGCCAGATTGTGTTGGATTTTTCTAAAATCCTTCCCTGTCATGTTATCCTCCTGCTCCAGAACATTCTATCGCACATAGTTCTTGGCCAGTAAAATCCTCAATCCTTAGTGGACATTCAGGACTTCTGAAAATGGCTGCACCCACCTCTGCCGCCGTGTTTCATACTCCGTCCATCCTGTTGCCTGTTCTCCAGCCAGACCGGACTCCTTGCCCTGTGGCCTCGTCGCACGCTTCCCGTCCTCAGGCCCTCTGCACGCCGGCTGACACCTCTGCTCCGCACGGGCCCTCTCTCCTGCCTTCAGCTCTCTAACTCCTGCTCTTCTTCCAAACTTCTCCTAAACTTGCACAAAGCTTTTCTAACACCTCCAGAAAGTTATCCGTTCCCAACTCATGTATATACATGTTTTTATTTGTTTATATGCCCAATCTTTCATTGCTTGTTTATATGAGTCATGCCTGTCATGAGCTGGTTAGTCCCCTGGAGGCAGGGACTGTATCGTCCAGAGAGGACAGAGGGTCCCGAAATGCCAGGAGCTGGCGGCAGAGAGATTGTTCAGGAACCAGGTTGGCCCTGACCTTGCCAGTTGCCCCATATGACTGAGTGGCCTTGATTGAGGCTGAGTTTGGCTTAAGGACCAAGAGAGTCTAATGTTTGTAAGTTCTCCCTTATGTGGAGGTGCTGAGATTATTACAGAAAATTCTTCTGGGTTGGTGGTATAAAACTGAGTATAAAAGAACTTGGCTGATATCTTTAACTTGGGCTCCGTATGGCTGGGTGACTTCGGTTCTGATCTTGGCTATGTAAACTGAGGACATGTAGCAGGTGTGTGTCTGTGTGCATGTGTGTGTAATGGTACGCCAAACTGTTACCCATCTAAAATATGATAGAGACCAACTTCACAGGTTATGGTGAAGATTAAATGAGAAAATTTATCAGACTCAAATCTATCAGATTCCAGGTTCAAAGCAGCTGGAGGCAAAGTACTAATTCACAGTGTCTTCCCATAGCAATTTCTGAGT